AAGAGTGTTGTAGATGCAGTACCTAATGGTGCTGAATCAGTGCCTGGCTTTTGGGCTACTGTATTTTGTATTGCAATTTGCAAATAACTGTGTTTTTGCTCAAGGCTCATCCATAATGAAAGGCTTTATAGCCTTAAAATTTCCAATTTGTTTTTCTTGGCACTGTGGAGTGCTGTATGAAAGAGTTTAGTATAGTTGTACACTTCTCTAGAGAACTTTTTTGTTTAGTACAAACTAAATTTTGTAACTGATAGTGCAAAGCTGTGTTGGCCTGTGTCATAGACAATCTCTGGCTATCAGCTATTGGGAAATAAACAACCAACACTCACCTTGAATGCAGCTTGAAAGAATTAGTTCTTTAAGGAAAAGAAGTTAGATTGCATAGATATACAGCCAAGCTGTTTCTGGTTTGTGGTGTGCTTGTACACTAAGGCTTTTCAGCCTTGATACTGTCATATTTTAGTTAATTTCATAAGTTTTATGAGAGTAGAGTCTATCAGGAAATTAATTATATCCTGACTGCTTTTCATCAGTCTTCTTGAAGACCAGATGGTTGAGTCTGTCATGGGTGGCATTCTGATGCTGAAGTAGGCCCTCCCAGGAACACCATAGTTTGCTTTCTTGTTTCTATACTTTAGGCTTTATTAGGAAATTTCTCTTCCTAAAGTTGATATATCCTGCTTTTGACTCTTCTCACTCCCTGATTGCTCTGTTTCTGAATTTATGTTAGTAATAGTTGTTTGGTATCCTTTCATAGAAGCAGTAGCAGCAATCTTTTATGGTCTTGACGTTTTAGCTATCTGATATACCTTTCAAATAGTCTTCCATTCTAAAAAACAATAAAGATATGGAAGACTTTGAGGTGCCTTGCTGCAATCTGAGTAGCTCATTATGTCATATATTGAGTTGAAACAGGGAGAAGTCTGTAGATCCTTATCCTCTGAGGTGGAGAACAGGAGTGGAAGCTCATCTCTCTGTCATTCATCTAGTTTCAGATTCTTTTGAGCTTTATAGTGCAAGAGCAGCAGAGTCAGATTGGGCCTTGGTTCTGTATTCCACAAAATAAGTCTATCATCATTCATCTTTAAGTGATGTTACTGTTAAAAAAAACCTGCCAAAGCAGCAGTGTTGGAAATAAGGGCGAATAATTTAAGATCTGGTTGTAGAGTGTACTGGTCTGTCTCAGTTTATCTCTTTGAAAGACTTGCATACTTCAAACATAATATGTTTTGTTATGTCCCACTGGGAATAAAAATTAGATCTTGTCTCTGGGACTAGATCACAGCTAATTGCAGGTGCATATTAATTGAAAATGTTCGATATAGAATGTTCTTAAACAACAGAAATCGTATACACCCTTTTTTCCCAAGAAAGCTTTGTGAAACCTGGTGCTGTGTTTCAGTTCTTTGATAGTCTTTGGAATATTCTTATATCTGAATACCTTTTTTCCCCTTAGGTGAGTGGAATCAAGAGTCTCTATGAGTCTGAACTGGCTGACGCTCGAAGAGTCCTGGATGAAACCGCCAAAGAGAGGGCTAGATTACAGATTGAAATAGGAAAACTGAGGGCAGAACTCGAGGAGTTCAATAAAAGGTAAGGAAAGTGTCCTGCATGATTGATTGATTGATTTATTTTTAGAGTGGGCAATATTTGCAATGGGAATGATACTATTGATGCTTCTTAAAAGGCCTTAGTGGGTGTCTTTTGGAAGCATTGCAGATCAATGAGAAGATACAGGCTTGTCTGAGGAGAATTCCTCAGCTTGTTCGTACAGCTAGTCAGAGCAGATAATCCAACCACTACACACACAAAAGTATTTGTAGCCAAGGGATTAATATACTGAGAGTTACACAATCCAGACATCTAGAGGCTGAAACAATGGGTTGTGCCTGCTTCTGTCTTGTTGTACCTCTCCTTGTGTGAGCGTGCACATGTGCAGCTGCTTGGTGAACTGGGTTGAGAACCTGGCCTAGATTACAGTTGACCCATCCAAGGAAGGTTAATTTGTAATCATCGTCAGTTTTATTGTGTGGTTCACTGTATTGACTGATGGCAGAGGAAAATGCAAAAGGGTGCCCCTGAGCAATTTGGTACTATGGAAGCGGTGTTGGCTTGAAAACACGTAAAGTCAGTGTGCTGGAAAAAGCCTGGTGCTGACCATATTCTAAGGAAACTGCTGTTCAGCCTGCATCAGAGATATTGGCCTAATAAACTGGCGACTGAAGCCAAAAGTAATCCATTATTTCTGTTCCCACTAGGCAGTTTTTTGTAATGAAATACTGTTCAGCAGTTGAAACTTTATTTTAAAATGAATGTATGTGATGGCAAAATCAGATGTTTTCATATCCCAGACGTTCCCACTTCATTGTTTGTTTGGAATAGGTCGACTTGGTGGGACAGGAGATAATACACTTCTGTCTTGGGACGTTTCTCCTCTGGTCTCCCATGTGAGAGAGGGACAGGAAAAGGGATAGTTTGGAGTGGGCAGCGTAGAGGAAACTTTGGAAAAGATATCTGGGAAATATTTCCTCAGTGTTAGACTGAATTGAATTGAATTGTAGTTGTCACAGGCTTACAGGGCTTTTCTAGCTGTAGCATCCAAACATAAGCTGGCCTGCTGCTTCGAGAGCTGTCCTCCCTTTCCTTTATACTCCTAAAGCCTGCGACCTTTTTTTTTTTTTCAAGTAGCATCATCTTACCCACTTAGTTACTGCTTCTACAGAAGCTGCTCTGTGCCTTCAATCAACATTTTACTCTCTCTGACATTTTTCCCATTTTAGTGTATCCTCTTGAGGAGGAAGGCTGCAGAATTGGAACTTCAACCAATATTCAAGATGTGGTTGTACCATAAGTGTTCAATATTGTTCTGTATTTTATTTACTAGTAATTTCTTAAGTACAGTTGCGTTTTGCGTGCTACTCAGCTGCTGATGTGTGAAAGAGGGTAAGCCCCAAATAGTATTTTACATCAAACTCAGAGATATCTCCTCCTTTCTACCCTTTTTAAAAATGAGTGCATCTCTTTTTCTAGTCACGCCACTGGGGATTTTGCCTGACTGCCATGACTTTTCAAATATGATGGAAAGTGGCTTGGCAACTATACCAACCAATTTCCTCAGGACTCTGGGATGCATCTTGTCAGGTCCCAAAGAGTTACGTATGTTCAGGTTCCTCAGGTGGTCACAAACCTGATCGTCTCTTACAGTGGGAGGAACTTTGCTGTCCCTGTCTTGCAGTCCATCCACTCAAGAAGTGTGGGAAGAGAGGTTGCCAGTGAAAAAAGCTGTTGAGTACCTCAGCTGCCTTCTTGTCCGTTGTTACCAGTCTGCCTGTCATGTTTATTGGGGGTGGGAGGGTGGGTGTGTGTACACTTGCCTTGACCTTCCTTTCTGGCTGCAATACCTATAGAAGCTGCTCTTATTATTCTTTGTGACCCTTGCCAAGTTCAGCTCAAGCTGCACCTTGACCTTCCTGATCCCATCCTTATGCAACTAGGCAGCGTCCCTATACTATTCCTGGGATACGTGTCCCTGCTTCCACTTCTTGCCCTTTGGTTTGACCAGGAGGTCTTAACTCATCCATGCTGATTTCTTGCCTTCCTTTCTGGATTTCTTACACCTGGGGATCTAGAGCTCTTGTGCTCTATGGAAAGCATCCTTAAAGATCTGCCAGCTCTGTTCTGCTCTCTTGTCCCTGAGGACAATTTCCCTGGAGATTCTATTAACTAACTCCTTGAACAGCTAGAATTTTGCTGTCCTGACTTTTCTCTTTGCCTGACCAATATCCCTCAGTGTGAACTCCACCAGTGTATGATGGCTGCAGCCCAGGCTGCCTCCAGTCCTGGCATCACCAATTAGCTCACTTGTGTTAGCGACCATTAGGTCCAGTATTGCATGTCCTCTGTTACCTTGTTTAAGAAGCTTTCCTCAAAGCGCTCCAGGAGTCTCCTGGATTGCCTACAGCTTGCTGTGCTACTTTTCCAGCAGATGTTGGGGTGCTTGAAGTCCCTGAGCAGGTTGAGAGCCTGCAAGTGTGATGCCTGCTACAGCAGGAGCGTGAAGGCCTCGTCAACAGGCTCCTCTTCATCAGGGGGCTTGTAGTAGGCACCAGTCACAAGGTTCCCTTTGCTGTTTTGGTCTCTAATTCTTACCCTTAAGCTTTTGACCTGGTCATGGCTACTCTTCAGAGACAGCTCTTCACAATTATCTGTTTCTTGATGTAGAGGGCAACTCCTCTGCCCTTTCTTCCTTGCCTGTCACTTCTGAACAGCCTTTATCCATCAATAGCCAGACTTCAGTCATGAGATTTGTCCCACCAAGTTTCAGTAATGGCAACTAGGTCGTAGCTTTGTAGCAGCATGGTGGCTTCCAGCTCCTCCTGTTTGTAGTCTATGCTGCGTGCATTGGTGTAGAGACACTTCAGCTGTGTCCCCTGCTTAGGGGAATGTACCTTTGTTCCTGTGAGGGATTTCACTGGTGTTTCCCTGTTGACTCCTGTTACCTCAGGAGCCCCTGACTCATCTCCGTAAGACTTCCATTTGTTCTCCAGTGTAGCCAGCCTGTCTCAGATCTACAGACTGAGAGCTTTTGCTGGCACCCTGTCCCTCTAACCTTGGCGTGTTGTCCTGCAGCTCGTCACAGGCGAGCCTGATGTTATCCCTTCCCCCTTCAAGTCTAGTTTAACTTTGTCATGTTCAGCTCCAATTTCTTTAAAGGGAGCTTTGTCATGGAGCGAGCTAGTTTTGGTTCCAAATTATGGATTCATCTGCAGAAGATACAGATCAGCTGTTGGTGCATTTCAGTTCAGGTGGCAAATGAATAACGGGACGTGTGATTTCCTGACATGACAAGTGAGGTTCAGATGCCTGAACATCAGTGTCTTGCACCGTAGACACTGTCAGTTATCCCGTGCTGTGGTATGAAATCTGGTGGGTCCTTTCTGTGTCATCGACCCAGTACAACGTGGATGTTGCAGATATCCCAGGGATTAAGTCGTGAGGTATCCAGATCTTAAGTAAACTTAAAAGTGTTTCCTGTGAGGGAGGTCTTCTGGGAAAATATCTTAATTTTCTAATCTTTGCCTTCATTGTTGGCATAAAACTGTGTTTTTTAAATGTTTTTGAGTTGTGGGTGTTTTTTGTTGTGGTTTGTTTTTTTTTTTGTTTTTCACAATATACATATTTATCATTGTCCTTTACCATGGTCTTTGATCAGCAATCAAGTTACACACAATGATCAGGTTTCAAGTGTAAATTAAAAACCAGAAAACACTTTGAGGTAGGGGCCTTCATGCTGCTTGGGACAATTGTTTTGCAGTGTAAACTCATAGATAGGATTGTATGTTATTTATAGATTTTAGTTTTGTTGCAAGATGCCAGTAAAATAAGAAAGATCCTGAAAAGAAATTGAATGTGAGACTTCTTAGGAAAAAAAAGGCACTTTTTTTCCTAATGCAAACAAACAACCAACCAAAATGTGTGGTGTGGTTGATGCTCCAGAGGGAAGGGATGCCATCCAGAGGACCTTGACAGGTTGGAGCGGCGGGCCCGTGCAAACCTTGGGAAGTTCAACAAGGAGAAGTGTAGGTCTCACACCTGGGTTGCGGCAAACTGGGATACAGGCTGTGCAATGAGCGGATTGAGAGCAGCCCTACGGACAGGGGTGTCCGAGTGTTGGTGGATGAAAAACTGAATGTGAGCCGACACCGTACGCTAGAGCCCGGAAAGCCAATAGCATCCTGGGCTGCATCCAAAGCAGCATGGCCAGCAGGTCATCAGGGAAGGGGATTCTGCCCCTCTGCTCGCATGAGACCCCCCCCTGCAGTGCTGTGTTCTGCTCGGGGGCCCCCAGCATGGGAAAGACGTGGACGTGTTGGAGTGGGTCCATAGGAGGGGTGCGAAGATGATGGGGGGCTGGAGCACCTCCCATATGAGCACAGGCTGAGAGAGTCGGGGTTGTTCAGCCTGGAGAAGAGACAACTCCAGCAAGATAAGGCCCCGGGGAGACCTTCTAGCAGCCTTCTAGTACATAAAAGGGGTCTACAGAAAGGGTGAGGAGGGGCTATCAGAGCGTGCAGTGATAGAACGAGGAGTAACAGTTTTAAAATGGAAGAGAATCGATTTATATTGGATCTAAGGAAGAAATTCTTCCTTCTGAGTGTGGTGAGGCACTGGAACAGATTGCCCAGAGAAATTGTGACTTCCCCATCCCTGGAACCGTTCAAGGCCAGGTTTGGATGAAGCTTTGAGTAACCTGATCCAGTGGGAGGTGTCTCTGCCCATGGCAGGGGGGTTGGAACAAAATAATCTTTAAGAACTCTCCCAACCCAAACCGTTCTATGTATTTTACAACGTGTATTACGTACATGTATGTATGATTAGTGCCTTGAACACAACACATGAATTTAGAATTTTATCTTTGGGATGTTCTAACACTGTTATATTGTATAAGGAACAGCTTAACTTTTTAGTTTAAAGATGTTTGTATCAGGAGTAGGGACATATTTTTAAATCTAGGTTTAAAATGTTGTAAAAATAAACATTCTGTTATCATTCTGAAGCTAGTATGGTTCTTTCCTATACGTTACGTAACAGCTTCCAGCACTCGTGTGTGCATCTTCACCTGCTTGGCAAAGCTTTTGACTGCTTGAGGGACGGAAGGGATGAGTGGAGGAGCTATAGATGGGAGCGTTTAATTTACTAGAGAGGTGCATGACATTTTTGCTTTGGTGGAACAGCACCCTCCCTCAAGACTGCTGGGTGATTGGAGTGCATTCAGTCCTAGTAGCGGTAACTTTGGCCTCTTTAAGGAAAGTCTCCTGTCCTCATGTTCATGAAGTGTCCGTTCATATCTTTACTAGTGTCACAGGTCTCCAGGTCAAGCAAAGCCTGCAGGTAGATATATGTAGGCTTCATCCATCTCCTCCTTTAGCAATTGTCCTGCTTGAGCTGCAAGCTCCCAACTCTGAGTTGTGTGTCTTGCTGCAGCTCCTCTGCCTGCTGCCCTGCGTGCTCACTGAAATGCTCCTCTTTGGCAAACTTGGCTGCTTTCTGGAAAAAAGAGATCTAGAGTGTTACCCTAACCTGGTGTCCTTCAGAGAACATTGGCACATCTCAACAGCCACGTTGACTGCCATTTGTAACTTCCAGGCATCTTGGAGACCCCCAAAAGCAGGTTGCACCTGTACAAAGCCTTCTGTCATTTTTTTTGTGTGAAGACAATAAACCAGGCTGAAATTTTAAGTACAAATGAAAATGTGAATGAAAGCAGCTTGCAGTGTCTTCCAGTGCCAAATGTTCACGAAGGAGCAGGAGTGAGTTACCACTGTCAGGAATTCTTTATGGTGCTCTGTCAAGCTGTACATTGAACACTTCTGTTTATTCCCGTCTCCCTGGGAATACTTGCATGCTGCCTGGCTCCTGCAAGTGGGAGAAAGCTATGGACTGTGTAAGCGTGTGCTGCTGCTCATACTCGTGTTCAGTGGTGTTTGCCCTTCAGGCACTGCACAGACAGAAGGTTTCCAGATCGCATTGTCTGACACACACACTCAGTGGCTTGTTGTACTGGGTGACACACGTGATGCAGGGGCATGTGTCTGGGGTGTCTGTTTTGAAGGCGGTGTGATTACTGCTAAAAAAGTGTCTTTTAAGTAGAAGTTGTGTTTTGTCTATGCATCTGCAAGCTGGTGAGCTTGAAGACACTGCACATATGTCGCAGAACACGATTCACAGTGACACATTGGACCAATGATAAGAAAAATTGGTTACAGTTAAAACAAATCGAGAGATCTACACCACAGAGTGTGGAGAGAATGTAGGAGCCTTGTAGCTAAAGCATGCCTTAAAGTGAGCGTGTGGATTTTTTCTGTAGTTAGAAAAAGTTGTGCCTCATGCTGAAGCCTGTGAAGAAATACACTCTGTAGGGCATACCGATACCCTATAAAGCAGGAATTTCGTAAAATAATTGTGTGCATCGCATTTTGGCAAATTAGTTATGGGCAAATTAGAAATTCAGGAGGACAGTACAAGTGATCAGAAGCGTGGGAGCCAAGACTAAGGATTTGGGCTAGGGAATAAGGTTTGTATAATCCAGGGCAGTGGTTTTCAGCTTTTTTTCTTTGCAAACATTTTTTTTTTCCATATTTGGAGTTGCAGACCAAACACAAAGCTTTTTTAAAGCCTATAGGTAGTAGGACTCCTCTTCAAAGTTATTTGTGGTCAGTGGTTCAATGTCCAAGTGGAGGCCAGTGACGAGTGGTGTTCCTCAGGGGTCGGTACTGGGCCAGCGCTATTTCACATCTTTATCAGCAACATGGACAGTGGGATCGAGTGCACCCTCAGCAAGTTTGCAGATGACACCAAGTTGTGTGGTGTGGTCCACAGGCTGGAGGGAAGGGATGCCATCCAGAGGGACCTTGACAGGCTGGAGAGGGGGGCCTGTGAGAACCTCCTGAAGTTCAACAAGGCCAAGTACAAGGTCCTGCACGTGGGTCGGGGCAATCCCAAGCACAAGTACAGGCTGGGTGGAGAGTGGATTGAGAGCAGCCCTGAGGAGAAGGACTTGGGCTGCTGGTTGATGAGAAGCTCGACATGAGCCGGCACTGTGCGCTGGCAGCCCAGAAAGCCAACCATGTCCTGGGCTGCATCCAGAGCAGCGTGGGCAGCAGGGCGAGGGAGGGGATTCTGCCCCTCTGCTCTGCTCTGGTGAGATCCCACCTGGAATACTGTGTTCGGCTCTGGGGTCCCCAGCACAAGAAGGACATGGAGCTGTTGGAGCAAGTTCAGAGGAGGAGCACAAAGATGATCCAAGGGCTGGAACACCTCTGCTATGGTGACAGGCTGAGAGAGTTGGGGCTGTTCAGCCTGGAGAAGAGAAGGCTCCGGGGTGATCTTATTGCAGCCTTCCAGTACTTAAAGGGGCTACAGGAAAGCTGGAGAGGGGCTTTTTACAAGGGCATGTAGTGACAGGGCAAGGGGCAATGGCTTTAAACTGAAAGAGGGGAGATTTAAATTCGGTATAAGGAAGAAATTCTTCCCTCTGAGGGTGGTGAGGCACTGGCACAGGTTGCCCAGAGAAGTTGTGGCTGGCCCATCCCTGGCAGTGTTCAAGGCCAGGTTGGATGAGGCTTTGAGCAACCTGGTGTAGTGGAGGGTGTCCCTGCCCATGGCAGGGGGGTTGGAACTGGATGATCTTTGAGGTTGCTTCCAACCCGAACCATTCTATGATTTTGCAGGCCCTTAAAGCAGCTCACTGACCACAGGCTGAAAGCTACAGATCTATAGAGGAGAAATTTGAGGAAAGGGAAGGAGAAAAATTAATTCTAAGATGGTTTAAGGGAAAAAGACAAAAAGCTGTTCCCTGCATTCTTAGTGTTATGAGACTAGAGTAGCCACCTTAAACTGCAGCAAGGAATGGATTGCTTCACATAAAAAAACCTCAGTTTTTTAATAACATGATGTCACACACCTAGAGAAGCTGCAGGAAGTCAGTATTTTAGAGGAGAATGTTGCTTTGCTCATAATGAATACTGCTGAAGAAGCATTCATTTATTGCCGAAAGGTGACCACATTTCCATAGTGGATTACTGCTTTGTGTGGGAATATATGGTAGGGAATGGACTGGGGCACATCAAGTACAGAACAGTGGGTATGCTCACGGGCCTCTTTGGGAGGTGCATGCGCTCGACTTCTCAGGGGCTGTAGTCCAAAGGGACAGATGTCAGCAATTAAACGTGCTGTGCAGCAGTGCACCTTTGTGTGTGAAGGAGCTTTGTTGTCGTCTCTGAGCTGTCAGAGCTGCCTTCTTCTTTCTCCCTTACCTGCCACTGACTTGTTTTCTTCTTTATTAGGCAATTACAACATATTGGTACAAGCTGTGAGTTTTAAGAGGTGTTTGGGATTACTTTTATTAGCTGCATTTGCAGGTTACTCTAGGAGCCACCTAGTGGTACCCTAATCCTAATCAAATGTCTATAGTGAATCTGTAGTTGCAACCAAGATGTGCTTAAAATGTGCATGCACACACATGTCAATAGAATTAATTTTTTTTTTTCCAGCTACAAGAAGAAAGATGCAGATTTGTCTGTGGCTCAGGGTCGCATTAAGGATCTTGAAGTGCTGTTCCACAGAAGTGAAGCAGAACTCAATACTGTCCTGAACGAGAAGCGCAGTCTGGAAGCAGAGGTGGCCGACTTGCGTGCCCAGCTTGCTAAGGTACAGCAGTGAACGCTTCCCTACTTCAGCACAGGAGAGGCTGTGAATTGTAGAACTTGTTATTTTTCTTTGCTGAACATCATTGATCTGGCTCGCTTACTGCTGAACTTCTGCTGACTCTCTTCAGTACAAAACAAAATTCTAAGAAATCCCTGTGAAACAACCAAAGTAACGTGGTGGTTTAGGAATTTTGCTATTCAAAAGCTTTTAAATAAAAATTTCTGGTGTTTGTATGTTCATGAGATTCCAGGTTACTAACTGTTGTCTGTTGTAAGGTCCTGCATAATTTTAAACTTATGCTGGAGTACCCAGTGGGACTGTGCTAGCAAGAAAAAGAAGATGCAGCATACTGTGCTTGAGGAGTTAATAATCCTCGACTCCATTGTCATACTGTATTGAAATAATCCTACATTTTAAATATTTGTTATACAAACATGAAAGTTTGTTTTAAATATTCATAAGCGTACAAAGACTCTTTTTTGGGTTTTGTTAGCTTTTTTTTAAAAATAAGTGGCTTGACGTTAGATTTGTTTTTGTGAATAATTGGTCCAAAGGCGCTAAATGAAGACCATAAAGGGAATTATGGATGGAAAGGAGGGATCCAGACAAAATTAAATCTCTGTCTTTAAAATTCTTTACTAGGCTGAAGATGGTCATGCTGTGGCTAAGAAGCAGTTGGAGAAGGAGACGCTCATGCGTGTGGACCTGGAGAATCGGTGCCAGAGCTTGCAAGAGGATCTGGATTTCAGGAAGAATGTCTTTGAGGAGGTATTATCAACTCAGTAACCTCACTGGAGTCTAAAGTTAATGTAGCTTTTATTCAAACTGACTATGAGCGATTATTAACTAGTCCAAGTAGGGAAAATCAGTGTTATCCTTGCTAGAGCAATAAAGATTTCCTCAAGAGTTACACGGCAAAGCAGTGACGGAGCTGGATGAGAGCCAAGTGGCAAGGGTATTGTTCCATGGGCAGGTGAGCTAATGTAGCAGTTGACTGCTGTGGGAAAGGGAAAGTCTCATTCCCTCTCTCTGGACCTGGTTGTGTGGCCCTGCTCCTTACGTGCACCAGCTTGGGTGGTTGTTGGACCTGACTGTAACCCGTTTTCGTTGACGGGAATAGAACGCAATTACCCTGTGTTTTGCTGGGGTAGTTGCCTGCCTGTTCAGTGAGTCAAGTTACCTCATAGTGGTTCTAGTGAGGACCTCAATTTTTATAAAGTAAATAGTAGGAATGCACAGATGGGGACTGGGAAAGGAAAGCATGACCTTCTCTCTTCACCAGATGCAAAGTGTTATCTCAGTTTACTCCATCTTGTCAAAACTAGCTCTGACCTTTGGATCTTCTGCGAGCCCATTTGATGGGTGGAATTGACACACACTTCAGCCCTTCGTCTCACCTGTGCTAGCTGTGAAGTTTGGCTCACCGCGCACCAAACCATTTCAGCCTGATTAACTAGTAAAATACTTGGGATTTTTTGTTTGAGTTTTAATTTTTGCCAGCTTAGCGGTTGAGTTACATCTTATCATAGAATCAAATGAGTGCCCGAACTGGATTAAGGGATGAGGCAGGCTGCGTGGCCAAGGACAGAGGCTTGAGCAGGGCAAAGAAACCAACCAGGTAGATCACCCTGAATTGTACTGACCATTGTCTCACTTCCATGCCCTGGAGTAGTTGGATTGCTGCCCATGACTGCAGTGACAGAGCCTTGCTTGGTTGTAAGGCCTTAAAATACCTTGCTTCCTGAGGAGAGGTATGTTGCTCCTGACTAAAGATGAGGCTAAATGAGACAGCAGAAGCTCATCTTAAAGCTTGTGGCAATGAAGTGAGGTGTTCCTTCAGCCATCCCTGGAGCTCTTTGATCCTCATGTGGATCAATTCAACACATGAAGAAAAAAAGGAATTGGTTTCCTTTAGGTTAGTGAATTCCTTTGGTTCAGAGAAGGGTCCAAAGCACCATTAGAGTTAGAGCATCATGATGAGGAGTGTGGCAAGTGAAGCCTGCTTATTCTAGTGGCATTGAACTGCTACATCAGCTCAGCCCTTCGCCTGATGCTCTGTAGTCCCCCGTGATATTTTTGTGATCTTGGAGGGGTCATTGCCTACAGTTACTGAGAGACTTGTTTGCTTGGGGGAAAAATTCACCACAAAGGGGAAAACTTCTTACAGATCACGTCAGAGCACGTTGCTGTGAGTAGAAGGGCATGTTTCTATGAGTCTGGTTTTGGATGTAGAGCGTTTCTGCAAAACAGCGTGTAAAGTTGCTCTGAATTCGCGTTAGTCGGCTGTGAGTGCAGCGCAGGCGTGCCGAGCGCGCCTGGCTTCGCCTGCCTGCTGTTCCCCGTGGCCCTGCTGCCGCCCTCGGGCCTCCTCCCGCTGCCCGGCACCGCTCCCCGTTGGTCGTCCTACCCTGAAGGCAGAAATGGTTTCTTTCTCATACCACGCGTTCAGGCCTGGCCAGGTCTCGACATGACAAGTGCATGAATAAGTCGTACTTGGCTAGTTTGGGCCACTGGTGCAGGCACAGAGAACTTGTACTTCTCTAAAAATGAAAGCTGCTTCGTACAAGCTCTGACCAGAGGAAATGCTATTGTATGTCTTCAGGATTGCTTGGGTTTCTGCTTTACTTCTAACATAACCAAAATCTAACGAGTAGAGCTCGTCCAGTATATAGAAAAAAAAAAGAAGATCCACATATGCTTAAAAGTGAAATTTGAAGATGCAATTTTTCTCTATAATGATTATTTTTTCAGTATATTTAATAGTCAGAAAAGGTGTTCATTTTTATCTGACTCCTTGTAGACTAATGTAGGGATGTATATTGAGAAGGAAAGGGTTTGTAGTTCAGCACACGGACTCTCTCTTTGCTATGTAAAAATTCATGTTTTCTTCTCCCCTCGTCCCACCATTTTGACTTTCGTAGCATAAACCAGCTCCTATTTAAACGGTATATGGGTATTTTTAAACTTGTTTTTAAGTCAGATCACTTTTAAGAATAATATCCTGCCAAATGGGAACGTTAACTTACATCTGTTAGCACATGCAGTAATTCTTGGGCTTAAATGCCTTTAGTACTGTATCTCCTATATACTAATTAGTACTGAAATCGTTAATTGTTTGAATGTAATTGCTTGTACTGTTTACCGTAACGTGGGAATTTGTTCCCATTATTTTTGTGTGCGCAGGAAATAAAGGAAACAAGAAAACGACATGAACATCGTTTAGTTGAGGTGGACACTAGTCGCCAACAGGAGTATGAATCCAAAATGGCTCAGGCCCTGGAAGATCTGCGAAATCAACATGAGGAACAAGTCAAACTGTACAAAATGGAGCTCGAACAGACCTATCAAGCCAAGGTAACTACTGCTATCCCCATCACTGTCTGACAGGAAGCCCAGTTGGTGAGAAAAAACCATTTCCATCAGCCCTACTGTCTTTAAGGGGACAAGTAGTTATAATTTCAAGAAGCTTTGTCCCATTGTTCAAATGCCTCCTCTGGTGCTTGTGTGCAGATGCAATTCCAGGGAGCCTATAGCCAGAGGTAATAGCTAGGAGTAGCTTTAGACAGGAAAGGCCAGTTTGTGAGAAAATACACGGAGCTGTTGGTCACTGCGGAAGACGCAGTGGGAATTGTGTATGTCACACTACAGCTTATTAGACAGCGTGTTCTGCTATAAAGGTTTTATTCTTCATGTCCATAGATTCAGTTCTTGCTCCAAGGTGGAGGTGGTGGAGGAGACCTGCAATAGGCGCGATAGGTTGGCTCTGAGAAGCTGGAGGGATGGGTTGGAGAGCTTGGGCAGTGGGTGCATTTCAGTACAGCCTTTTGCCTGGATGCAGTGAGCTTGTAAGCTAATATGGACATTCTGAGAGGGGCTCCGTGTCTACAGTTGCATTGTCACTTTTACTCTTACTGGGGCCTTTGCAATGTTCTTACTAGTCCCAAAACTCTTTGAAATGTGTGTAAGCCTTACCACATTTCAATGATCTAAGTTAGGTCTAGATTGCAAAATTACTAAATAAAGTTGTGGTTTCAACAGTGGTGGGGAAACTTCAAGCAAGGTATTGGACCTTCTTTGACCGGCTTTGGTGACAAAACTGTGGTATATAAATTGGAAATGATAGAACGGTTTGGGTTGGAAGGGACCTTTAAAAGTCATCTAGTCCAACCCCCCTGCAATGGGCAGGGCTGTCTTCAGCTAGATCAGATCGCTCAGAGCCCCATCCAACCTGAACTTGAATGTTTCCAGGGAAGGGGCATCTACCACCTCTCTGGGCATCCTGTTCTAGTGTTTCACCACCCTCATTGTAAAAAATTTCTTCCTGTATCTAGTCTAAATCTACTTTCTTTTAGTTTAAAACTTGTCCTGTGGCAACAGGCCCTACTAAAAAGTCTGCATCCATCTTTCTTATCAGCCCCCTTAAGTATTCAAAGTATAAGTATTATACTTCAGTATTCAAACGCCACAGTAAGGTCTCCCTGGAGCCTTCTCTACTCCAGGCTGAAAAACCCCAACCCTTTCAGCCTCTCTTCATAGGGTAGGTGTTCCATCCCTCTGTTTTTGTGGCCCTCCTCTGGACCTGCTCCAACAGCTCCATGTCTTTCCTGTGCTGAGAACTCCAGAGCTGGACCCAGTGCTCCAGGTGGGATCTCACCAGAGCAGAGTAGAAGGGAAATGTGAACATAGGAGTAATTTAATCCAGGAGAATGCTTCTTAAACTTCTTTAAAATATTTGTACTCTTTTGTTTTTTCTGCCTGTTGTCGCAGATGTGTGGAATGCACATCACTCAAAAGAGAGACGCAGCAGTATGTTTTATTGAGGTAAAATAAGTTCAATGGAATCTCACAAAGTTTGAGTGGTTTGACAAGGTTCAGTAAGTTCGATGGCAGGATTTACCTTATTAATTACTGCATGGAAGGAACATAAAAAGGAAAACTGAGTTAGAATAATTCACACAGAGATTGGAGATGCAAAGAGGAAGGAAAACCCTCCCATTGAGTCATGAACTTCAGAGTGGACCCCTTGTTTTCTAAGCTCCTTTTGGAGCCTAGGTGCAGCTGGATCCAATTGTAGTTTATCTCTAATGGAATTACCCATACAATGTTTATAACAGTACTGACTAGCTCCATGGATTAGTAATGTTCCATAGTATTCATTCAGTGTGCTATCAGTCACCAGGGATCTGTCACAGGTAAGGGATCTCTCTGCCTTGGGTAAGGAAGGATCTCTGAGTCTCAGGTCAGGAATCTCAGACCTTGAGAAGAGTCCCTGCTCAAGGGGAGAGTCGCCTGGCATGCAGTCCAGCTGCAGCTCAGGAAGAGCTCAAGTTGGACCCATTCTGATGGTGGTGTCTATAAGTGAAGCAGTTGACTGCTAATCAGTAGCATAGACAGGATGGACATCTTCGGTTTAGCTCTGGTATTTTGTTCTGTGCTTTGGTTGTCTTGCACTTTCGGGTTTCAAAACCACCTTTTTAAATATTTTTCAAGACACCTTCACTCCCTTGTATGTGAACCAGGGGCTTTCCAGCTCACAAGTTCACTCCAGGGATGTGAGGCCTGTTGCTCCTTAGCCTGAACCAAAGTACAGGAGTCAAGTGTGTCTGTCACACCTTTGCAAATCCTGAGTTAGCAAATCCCAGTTCATCCAGCATTGGGAATGCGGGAAGAGTAGCAGCTTTGTTTTTGGTGTAGTTGCTGGTTACAGGTTGGTTTGTGGTCTTTTTTTTTTTTTTAATATTCATTAGCCTACCTGAAGGAATTAGGCAGCTGTCAGTTTTCTGGATATTGAAAATACTTGCCAGTAATTACAGCCATTTCTAATTATCTTGCGATGGAGTAATTATGGTGCTGTTAACATTGTTCTCTGCCACCCTTCACCGAGACTTCCTTTGAGTTACTTGGTTTGATGGCTCACAGTTTGAGAAACATTGATCTACAAACATTTAACTACTTCTTATGGCAGCAAGAGTGTAGATAGTAGATACTGAAAAACAAAACTAAGTGCAGTTAGCAGTCTCAGCATTATTCATGGAAGTTAAGAACATACAATATTTTTATACGAGATGTTTGATTTGACTTACCACAGTCTGAAGAAGATCTGGGGTAGAAGATGTCTAGTAGAACGTAAAAAGAAAGTTTGCAAAATACAGACTTAGGGATTGCAAAAGTGACAAGATTTGAACACAGGGATGAACAAATCAAGCTGCTTTTCCCCACATGGGAAGATGGTTATGGGTGAAGTTGGAATGTGAAGGGAAAAACAGGCTTATCTGTGGGCTTTGTTCTGTGGATTTCTGGATAAAGATAGGTCTCTGTTCAGAGGGAGCCTGAGCTGTTAAGGAATATGATGTCAAACTGGATTGTTAGATTTAGCTGCTGAGCTTTTCCAGGATGAGGTGGTCTTGGGTAAAAGCTCACTTCTTGCTCTGACCATGATCTTTGATAATAAGCAATAGAAATTATAAATCTGAGGAGCCGGCACTGTGCCAGCATGACTGTAAGGAAGTGAATGGTTGTCAGCATTCAAATAAGTTTTAACTTTAAGCTTTACAAGAAGCAATGGAGTATATATTTAACGTGAAGTTCCTTCAAAGCCCTTAGCCTAAAGAAGGCTCTATGTGTGTTTTATTCTCTGCTCAGAGCCCTGTGAACAGCAGAACTAATGAGGATTGATTTTTGTAAAGCTTTGTGCTGTGTGGCTGAAGAACATGTTCTGCCTGTAGCTGGCTTTAGAATCAGAGCGAAAACTGAAAACAAAATGAATGTGGGCAACTATTAGGGAAGGAGAATACAACCAAAAGCATTGTTTTGCCTCAGGCAGAATCATCTGGCGTGCTGTGGTTAGTTTTAGTTCTTGAAAAGGTAGTGCAGAGTAATACAGAGAAGACTAACAAAGGCAATTAGGAGTGTGAAACAGGTCCTGCATGAGGGAAGTCTAAAATGAAACCTCACCTGGGAAAAGAGATGAGTCAAGAGAAGGGGAGGATACAGTGGATGTCTGTAAAAGGGTAAATAGCACAAAGAAGGTGAATGAGGAGTGGTTGTTTTTTATTTTTTTCAGTAGAAGTAGGGACAGTGAATGTCCAGTTGCAGATTCAGAAGGAACAGAAGGAGGTTGTTCTTCATTAATATACAGTTAAACTCCTTGCCTTGTGAATTCAAAAAGCAGAGACAAATTCCTGTCTGAAAAATCCACTGGGAATAGTAAGCCACAAAACACTGTCTGTGGCTTAGGAAGTCCCTGAACTGCAGATGGCCAGCTGAGACATAATACCTGTGGAATATTTTACTGAGTTCAGTCTCTGGGCATCCAGGGAACTGTTGGACCAGGATGCGAACTAGGCATGTTTGCTCTGATCCAGTGTGACTGTTCTTAGGACAAATAGGTGGATAATGTGATCACGTGAACCTCAGCTTTTGGAAACTACAAGGTTGCTTGTAAAATGGAAAGTCTAATAGACTATTTTTTGATAGCGCAAGCAAATCCTGTAGGAATAGGACTGAAATAGATTTTCCTGGTCCCTAGGGCATTTCCTTAATGTTATGCAATTCTTATCATAAACTTACCAGATTTCCCTTTAAAATTATTTCATGTTAAGTAGTTTCTGTTTTTTACCAAAAGGATATTTGCGGGGTATCTAGCTCAATGCAAGTGACCTGTATAAAACTTGCCTTCCAGCTGGAGAATGCCAAACTGTCCTCTGACCAAAACGACAAAGCTGCTGGTGCAGCTCGAGAGGAGCTGAAGGAGGCTCGCATGAGAATAGAAGCTCTCAGCTACCAGCTTTCTGGCCTTCAGAAACAGGTAAAGGGACTAAATTTGCTTTCATCTTTAATACAGGGCACTGTATTGTTTGGATGTATTCACATTGCTGTCCACATTTTCTGATTTTTACAGTGAGAAATCTTAGAATCATATAATCACAGAATGGTTTGAGTTGGAAGGGACCTCAAAGATCATCCAGTTCCAATCCCCCTGCCATGGGCAGGGACACTCTCCACTACACCAGGTTGCTCAAAGCCTCATCCAACCTGGCCTTGAACACTGCCAGGGATGGGGCAGCCACAGCTTCTGTGGACAACCTGTGCCAGTGCCTCACCACCCTCAGAGGGAAGAATTTCTTCCTAACATCTAATCTTTGTTACGTTCATCTGGGAGGGAGCTGAATTTTTAACGTTTTTACTGTACCCACCTAGATGCCAACTGGGTTTTCCATTGTGCTCTCTGCCTAGGCTAGTGCAGCAGAAGATCGCATTCGTGAGTTGGAAGAAATGATGGCTGGTGAGCGAGAAAAGTTCAGGAAGATGCTAGATGCAAAGGAGAGGGAAATGACAGAAATGAGGGACCAGATGCAGCAGCAGCTTACGGAGTACCAGGAACTGCTCGATGTTAAATTAGCACTGGACATGGAGATCAGTGCTTACCGAAAACTCCTGGAAGGAGAAGAGGAAAGGTACGTACAGATTCCATATTCTTTTCTTGGTACTAGCAGGTGTTGTTTTCATTTCTTGCGCTTATTTTTTTACCATTTGAGAAGGATTTTTTTTCAGGTTTTGTTTCACTGAAGTCATGTTGTCTTCACACCACAACGTGTTGCATGGAACACTTACATGAAACACTTGCAAGTGTTCTCATCTGAACGCCATCTGTATTTTATCTTAGTTTTTACAACGGTCTCAGAGTACAGTGGAATGTATCATTTTGTGCTTGACTTTCATGTCTTCTTTTTATTTAAGTGCTTATACTTCTGTGTTTTCCGTTTTTAAATGATGTAGCCCAAGAATAGTGTGTTTAGTAGTAGCTATACTGGAGGACAGGGTTAAGTGATCTGTGTTGCTCTCATCAATACTGCTTTTCATGTCACATAATCATACTACCAGAAAATTTCTCAAGGATGGATAGCCCCCCCTTCTCTTACATACAGTCCTCCTGACACACACAAGCGACGCTGCCTTTGGCCTTGGGCACGTTCCAGTCTGGTTACTGAGTATATTGTAGCATTACTGCTTTGTGTGTAGTCCCCTGGATAAGTTATTAAAATTCTTGCTTTGTCACGTTAAGGTTGAAGCTCTCTCCAAGTCCCTCCTCCCGCGTTACAGTCTCTCGGGCTACCTCCAGCAGCAGCAGCAGCAGCACTTCACTCATTCGCTCTTCCCGAGGCAAGAGAAAACGGATCGAAGCGGAGGAGCTTTCAGGCAGCGGAACAAGTGGAATTGGCACTGGAAGTATTAGTGGCAGCAGTAGTAGCAGTAGCTTCCAAATGTCCCAGCAAGCTTCGGCTACAGGAAGTATCAGCATAGAGGAGATAGACCTGGAGGGCAAATACGTTCAACTGAAGAACAACTCGGAGAAGGTGAGTGTCAGCAGAACTCCCAGAAAACAAAGAGGAGCTAAGTCGAAATTACGCAGCCTTTTGTGGCATGAGTAGGTGGAGTCACTTGGAGAGCAGGAGCAACATCTCAAGGTGCAGCATCCTGCAGTAATTGGCAGGGGCATTTGAAAGCTGAATGTCGCAGCGTGCTAGCATGGGTGTCATGTTTGCTGCAGGAAGAGAACATGTTTTGTCCCAAATGTCTAAACGTGTGCTGGTACCTTGTTCAGGTAAATAGCCTTGCTGGTTCTAGCGGAACTTCTTTGTGTGAAATATGTCTCTCTCGAAATTTTGCTGAATGACCTTAAGGGATTTATGCTTTAGACTATTAGTGGGCATAGAAAAATACTTTCAAGTTAGAATGCAGATGTCTAAAAACCATGTGAATAAATTTATATTCACATTATTTTAATAACAAAAAGACCCAGAGAAAGCTCTGATACCTGTTTGCTCTGTTTTGCTCACCTTAAATAACGTTATGACTCTCTCCATTAGGATCAGTCTTTGGGTAACTGGAGACTGAAAAGACAAATTGGAGATGGAGAAGAAATTGCTTACAAATTTACTCCGAAGTATGTCCTCAGAGCTGGGCAGACCGTAACAGTAAGTTATACAGCAGATTCTTTTGTCGATGCTTTGGCAGTTGTAACTCTGATGTTTGGTACAGCCTGATTTGATGTACACCTTTTGGTTTCATGGATCTCACTTCAGAGGAGCAGAATTTCAGTTATGAAAATGCAGAACAGAAATTGGATTTCTATATTAGCACTTCAGTATTTAAGACCATTTTGGACACAGAGAAGGTTGAAGAAAATGGTATTTTGGGACGTGGGTCAAGGGCTGTTTGTTTTTGAACCCTTTGCCCAGATTTGGAATCCTGCTCCACCTCTTAATGAAATATGAACATTTCAGAGCATTTGTTTGGTCTAGTAGACTTTAGTTAAATTTAAGACTAAACATTCTCAGCCTTAACCTGTATGTAGTAGAACAACTGCTTCTCTATAATTTTATATTTTATTTTCAGTCTGTAACACATTCTTTCAGAAGAAAAAAATTACTCTCTTTTAATCAGTTCCAGCTATTTCTACTTAAGTATCAGTTGCTCAGATACATATAAAAGATTAAATTGATACCCTACAAGCTGCTTTTTATGTCTTGGCTCCATACAGCATTGTCATTGAGACAGTAGAAGGAGAAATTTGCATATTAAGAAAAAGAATTGATGACTCCAATATTAGATAATATTTTTCTTTTTTATTTATGGCTAGTGTTACTTTTTGTTCTTGACTGAGAATAATATCTTACTACAAGTAATGGTGTAGCTAAAGGCAGGGTAAAACTGCCACTGAAATTCAGAAACAAAACTGGTATGTAGAGAGAAGCAGGAGAATTAGGGGGTTCTGTATAATTAAAAATAAAATGTGCATAAATAGCTAATTACATCATGTCTTTCTCACTAGATTTGGGGTGCAGATGCAGGCATATCTCATAGCCCCCCTTCTGTTCTCGTGTGGAAGAATCAAGGCAGCTGGGGCACCGGAGGAAATATCCGCACATACCTTGTGAACTCCGAAGGAGAGGTAGGCTATGTCTGTAGAAAAGATCTGGGGGCTGGGTTGTCTCCCAGACTCTTTAATTTGGGGGGTGGGGGGAACGGTGATGACAAATCCTGATTTTAAGATCTCCCCCATTGTCTTTTAAAATAAGACAGTTTAGAGCGCTGAAATAATTAAATATCTGTATGCGTCTCTGAGATTTTTGGGAAATTTTGGAAAACTGTGATCATCATCCTGATTGCTCCTATTTTAGAAAAACACCCTGCTATTAGAGAATTCGTTTGGAATTTTGAGTATGTATTTCAGAAGAGACCAAGAAAATAAATTGAATTGCCAGCAATACTTGTGGTATACAGTATCTACGACATCCTGGAGTGCAATATAAATATTTCTGTAGGAAGACAGCTGTCCTTTCAATGTTGGAAGTATATCAGAAGTTTTCATTTGGCACACGTTCTTGTGTACTCTGCATTGTCCTAAATCTGCTCACAAGAGATTTTTTTAAAACTATCCCTGCAGAAGACTCCTTCAAGGAAGGATCATGCTTTGGCTTTTGTTCATAAATGTGCCGTTATCCCAGTGATCTGATAGAAACAGGAAAGTGAAACAGACCACGTTTGTATCAGTTTTCATGCTGCCTTTCTTGCTGGCAATTCTTTGGAAGCACTTTATGCAGGAACAGCAGCACAGGACAACCTAGGAGGGAAGGTCATTTGTACAAATACAAGGCTAACTGGCTTAGTATTCAAATAGAAGTAGTTAAACGAGTCTGTGAAAAAATTTCAAATCTGTGTCTGTTTCCACTGTGGTTACCTGTAGTATCCCTGCTTAGAAGTTTATGGTTAGGGTGACTATTTCCACGAGTAGAAATTTGCACCTATGGTTTCAAGAGTGCAAGCGTACAGAAGAATTTCTTACTACAAAGAAGTGTTAAAAATAATTTAGTAATAAAGGAAGCTTCCTGGGTTTTTAGAATTCTCTTTAGTGCCTGGTTTGGAAGCCTGTCCTGATAATTGATATATGCAATTGGTACAGAATATTTAGTAGAAATTAAGAATATTCTTAATACTGTGTAATCATGCTGGGAAGCTTTAGTTTCTCACGTTACAGTATGTCTCAGCTCCTAGCTGGGTCTGCAACGAGTTTATACAAAATTGACCACCGACCACCTGACACATGGCTGCTGCTTCCACTGCTCCCTAGGTAATGGAAGAAGATTCCTGATCTAAATTACACTACTGTGCCTTTTAGTGGATAGAAATAGCAATGTTGTTGTGGTTTGCAGGATATTACCAGTATTGCTTGCATAGCTAATGCTAAATCCAGGGCAAGTTGCTTTAAACCCTTCAAAATTTAATATGGGTGGTATTGACAGTATACCAAACACTCCAGAGGTAAATGCAGGCTACTGGCCGTCTCCTTACGTGTTATTTTGTGTAGGAAGTTGCAGTGAGAAGCGTTACTAAATCAGTAGTCGTGCGAGAGAACGAAGAGGAAGAGGATGAAGCAGAATTTGGAGAGGAAGACCTTTTCAACCAACAGGTAATAAGAGATGTTTAAGCAGGCCAGATGTTAAACTTGTGCCTGGGTGGTGGGATTAATCAGGCATAAGATGTAGGGGGGTCCCTTCAGCTTTTGCCAGCTCTGAGCTTCCTGCTGTGTCTCTCCAGTGGGTGCTTGCAGAGGATAACCTCACAGCGGCTCACAACCCTGCAGCGTTACTCCAGCGCGCAGGGAGCGCAGCGTGAGGGGCTCTTGCAGGAGCTGCTGCGCCAGTCGCTGATGGCACAGCTCAAGCAGTGGCTGACGTCGGGTCAGGGTGCCAGGGTGTCTGTGCAAGTATGTGACGGATCACAGATTCACAGCATTGCAATGACAGAGACTGTTTTTAGGGTTAGTAAGGTTCGTTTTAACAGTCAGTGTTCCTCCCGTTCCAGAATTTGCTTCTCTGTGAAAGAGTCTGTGGCATTCTTGTAAGCAGAATATAGCCCTTGGGAAATGTAACCGCTGAAAACCAGGAAAGGCGGAGTGCTGCTGTTGCTGCAAGCTGCAACATATTGGTTTATTTTCTGATAGTATACACCTGTTACATCTCAAATAAACTGTTTTTTCTTAATACTACCCATATGTTTCCACAACCCTTAGTTAAGTACTGTGAAATAACTGACCAGCAGTAGCCAGAGTGAAAAGGAGAAAGCTGCTTCATACAGGTGATATCAGAAAATATTTTGTCAAGCAATTTGTTCTCCTGATCACTGGCCATTAGTAGCTCTTTTCACAAAGAACTCATTCTTTGCAGATTTGAAGTTGAGTTCTGAAAGCTTTTTTGGTCTCCAGAAGGCTGAGCCGTGTATTTATAGTATAAAGCAAGTGAAACAAACTCTTTTTTTTACCCCAAAAAGCTGCTATGCAGCATAGATCTCTCTCAAATGGAAATATCATGTGAAACAAAGGAACTTCCTGTCCTAGAGCTAATGACATCACAGTTTTCGTTTGTCATCTGTGTCAGTGTTGAAAGAATGGGCATTAACCAATCAACCCGTTGTAGAAGACCACAACAGAGTAGCAGTGTCTTAATCCTGGCAGTAGACAGTGACGTGTGCTGTACTTTTCTCTGTAGTTGTGATGTTCTCCAAATATAACTAAACTTTTAACCACTGAGATGATAACCGAAGTCTAGGTTTACAATATGAAAAGCTAGTAAGAATTGAGTTGAGCTATGTCTGTCTTATTTTAGGGGGATCCCAGAACAACTTCTAGAGGATGCTCAGTGATGTGAAGAAAGAAAAAAGAAACTATTACTTGCTATTTTTTTCATTTATTTCCTTTTATTTTTGCTAATTTTTTCCCTCCAGAGCCACTGAAAACTATTTTTATATGCATCATCTGATTTCTTTGAAGTTTACTCCTTGGTACATTTTTATAAAAAAATTCAAAAAAAACCTTTACTGAACAAAACTGCCAGAATTTTAAATAGATTTTTTTTATTTTTCCCTCTTTGTTGAAACACTATATTGGAATACAACATTATTCCCCATACAGAGTTTAAAGTCTTATGTACAAACCTGCAGCAGAGAAATTTTTAGCTAAAATGGGATGAGACTCCTTGAGTGTATGGTAAATCTAGAATTGCATCTATAACCAGGATAACTCGAAGTGTAAGAAAGTGTGTTCATCTGCAGGGCCCAGGAGAGATTGACAGTAGTGTTTGCTCTGTACTTTTAAGAATTGTATCTTGCCTGGTATCCTCAGCAGTGCCCAGCTCAGGAAAGTCAGACCCCAAGTTCGTTAAAAATGTTACTCCACAAATGGAAGTAACACAGGGAAGTTGCGTTTCAGACGTTCTGGGCTCAGGACCGTGGCACCTTGTTCTGTTCCAGGGTTTGACAGCTCAGTGGTAAAAACATCTGAGTCTGTCAGCACCTGAGCTCTGGATCATTATTTCAGAAGATGGGAGAATGATGGGTTCTGCTTACTGATTATAGACAACATCTTCAGGTATGGGAGGGTCAAAACCAGAGTTTTCGCTTTCATTTTCAGGGAATTTTGGCATTGTCACAAATCAGACCTTCTTATATCATGGACACAAGTTGTGATGTACACTATTTATGATGTTAAGCATCATGATTTAATGCTTTTGGCTTGTTCAGCATTAAACAGAATGATTAAGATTTTAGATGATAAAAGTATTTTTACTTTTGGCATCGAGAATTATTGGAGATTTTAAAGATTATCCTGTGTAAATGTTGACTTTTTTAATCAGAGCTAGATGCAGCTTTTTCATACTTCCCTTATATTCAAAGGGGTGTTGTCAGATGTCTTAAGGAGCAGTGTTTGCAAAATAGTACAGAAATAGTTGAATGACTCTAAAAAAGTTAAAAGGAGCTTCTGTTGTTTAGGACATGAGCATTGCTTTGCGGTGTTCAAAGGCTCGAAGTCAAGTCAAACAGTGAACGAAGGGAGAATAATGCTTTTTATAAAAAGTGCTCTATATGAGTAGCAGGTGATTTTTTTATTTCAGTATGCTGCATTTTCTATCTGACAATGTCCCTTTAGCTTAAGGTTTCTTCTGCTGCTTTTCTGTGGAGAGAACTCGAGTCCCATAAGGGTTAGTATTCATATAGTAGTGCATCTTTAAGCACTAGGAAAAATACTTGACTGCTCCAAATAATGTATTGGCTACTGTACAAGTAAATGTGTTTTCCACTAGTTACTAGTTTGAATACAAAATTTGGATACCATTTGATGCCAGCATAGAATCCTGTTTTACCTGCACTCTTGAACTCTGATCTTGTCATTCAGATAGTTTAGACTCCTCAAACAAGCTACAAGGTTTGGATGTTTTCGGTGGCTTTTGGACATTATGTTCTCTGAACAGTATTGTGACTGACAGATATAACCTAGAGAGTCAGTTTAGTGGCTTTGACTGATGGCTTTGTAATGCAAGCAGAGTGGGAACAAAAGGGGGGTTTTAAGCTTATAGATTTATTTTGCCATTTAAAAATAAATCAAAGATGCTACTTTTCTCTATTTGTGTGGGACAAATGAATTACTGAAGTTAAACTAATAGAAATTTAGGATTATGTTTTAATCAGTTATCAGAAGATCCATTGCAAAAAAGCAGTATGAAGATTTGGCTGTTGGGGTAATGTTATTGATGTACTTGGCCGTTTTTCTGATGTAATTTTCCCACTCTGCTTGAGTAGAAGGTTAAATATGTAGTAAATCATGTCTATCTCTTTGTAAAATGTATCTAGTGAAATTATGTTTCTCAGACATCAATTACCTTTTCTAGATTTGTTGTTATGCAAATTAATGCAATCAATGTAAAAGTATTTTTGCAATGCACCTTCCAACCACTGGACAGCATTTCCCTTTCTGACCCGCAGCTTCCATAATACACTTACATAATGTTTGAGGGCTTTTTGCTTTTTTTCTAAAGATCTGTATTTATTTTTTTTACATTGGCCAGTTTTCAGATTGTTCTTCTTTAAGATTGTCCTGTAAATTTAAGATTGTTCTGTGATCTTACATGGTAAAGCAATGAGTGTGTAGTTAATTTACATTTTTTCTGTGAATTTTTTTCCCCTGTAAAGAATGAGCTAGGAAAGGCAGCTTGAATGAGGAAAAACCTCTTGCTACCTGAGCCATAGTTTTCTTAACAGCTGCTGTATGGGGACTGTGTCTTCTTGTAGCCTTAAGGACTGGTGCCTGCAGATCTTTTGTGACGAGCGCTGTGCCCTTCAGTAACAGTCTGCAGAATTTGTCCTTAAATTTGGAACTGTGTCCTTTAACTTTGGAAAGAGTTTATTTTATTCTTCAGTACCATGTTTAGGTATATACAGGTGTTCATACAAAACAGTAATTGACACTGGGAGAAGCTGAATGCCAGCAGACAGAACTGAGTGATTCTGTCACCACAGTGCTTTCTAAAAGGCTACTAAAAATATAAGAAATAATTCCTAGCTGTAAATTACAAGGCACAGAAAAACTACTGTATTCCATGTACTTTCTTTTTTGTGTGTGCGTCTTCTCTAGCTGCCATCCTTTCTCTTGCTTTTGATGCTGAGCTTCGGTATAACGGCATGATCTCTTTAGTTGGTGCTCCGTACTGGGAGATTTGTTGGCTTCAGCAAACCAAAAACCATTATTTCTTTTTTTTTTTTTCTGTCTTTCAAGGATTATTTTTTTTTAAGATAATTAAAGCTTTTTGTTCAAATAAAATCCGGTGTCCCCTTGCCCTCTTTTCCTATTTGATCCTGTATGTGAACCAGTCTTGGAGTTGGAGGATAGTGAGCATTTCTACTCCAGTATCGGTATCAGGTGCAGAGCTTGAAGGAGAAATAGATTTGACTTGTCAGGAGAAAAATAATTTTAAGGCTTGTCTGATTAGGGAAATTAACAGGTAAAGCTTTTATCAGAGTAGTTACTTCAGTGTAATTACCCGTATGGATGTTCTTATTCTAGAAAAATAAGCAAACAACTTTATTCTGGATGAAATAGTAACAACGATTCCTAAATGATTCTCACTGGTTAAGAAGTTGGAAGGAGTAAGAGTGTAACTGGAGCAGAATAATTAAGCCAACATTTTCATTGTGTAAACGATAACAATATAAGATAAAATATGATAAACACGTGCTACCTACTCCTGAGTCCGTACCGCATGAAAATGCTGTGTCAGAACAAGTCCCTCCATCTGCAGAACCGTCGGTAACGTGGCATCCTGCAGAGAGATGGTTACAGGGAGCCCCTGACGTTTCGTGCCACCTTTCTCCCTCACCTCGATGTTGGTGCTGCGACACTTCGGCTGCGTGTTGCAGTGACTTACTAAGTAAGAGTGGCTGTGATTCCTTTGTTGCTGCACAGCTTGCTTACCCGGTGTGTCTGCTTAAGCTGGTTCCAGACTCTTGATTTGTAAACCAGTAGTTTACACTGATGCATTGATCACTTGTCTTCAGCACTGTTTTGCCATTAGGTAGGAGCTGCCTGGCATAGTTTGTGTTTGTAGCAGGAACCAGAAGTCTCAGGAAGAAAACAAACATCTGCTTCCCATGACCTGCAATGTAAAAGCCAGACGAGCTTGTCTGCAGCTTGCATGAGTCATGAAAATCGTATCGCGTCGTGAAGCAGACCGTACTGTGAAAGGAGATCACTGACTGTGCGCGTTCATCCTTGAGCAACGGGACACCTCATCTTCATTCAGTTCAGGGATCTTACTGTTTCTTATCCACTTTTTTCTTCTTTTTAATGCTCATGCTGTACAAAGGCCCTTTAACTGCAACATGAGCAGGGGTTAGTTAGAAGAGGCTTGTAGAAATCCTCTTCACACCCAGAATATTTGAGAATGTGGTGGTTTTTTTGTATGAAAACATGCATGCTGTCTGTTTTATCTCACTTGTAGCCACTTCTCTCAATCCTCACCGTTAAGCCATTCTCTCTCTTCTTTCTGTATCTTTTGAAAGTCTTATCTGTAAACAAAGGCATATCCATTTCTAATACTGGATTTTATTGCCACTGTTGGGTCCAAACCCTGTGTGAGCAGGAAACAAAGCCTTGTTGTCACCCAGTGAGTGGAAGGTGAGATAGCGATTGCATTTTTCAAAGCATTGTTTTAGCTGAAAGTCAAGACAAATTATATTGGAGTTTCTTTTCTCACTTAAAATGGCCTGGGAAACAGAATTTTTATTTGCCCTTCAATACGCTTAGCTTTAAACCAGTTTAAAATAATTTAAAAGTGATATTTTTTTTTAATACAAGACCATATTTACATGCAATTATTATTTGTAAACATAATGCCTTTCTTGAAATGCTAAGGTCTAGAGAGTGAAAAGGATCCTTAATACTGAAAGACTTCGTTCAGAATAGCACAAGCAGTGAATTGACTTGGAGTTCAGGAAAATAAAACGTGTTTGATTGAATTTCCAAATTTTCTAGTTAGTTTTTAATGAAGTGACAATTCTGTGTTGCTGAGATAGATGATGTTGTGTATTCCAGCTACCGAGATCATCATTACACTAAAATTAGAAGCAATAAGCTGTTTTCAAGAAGTTTAAGCCAAAATGCTTTCTATTTGGGCACAATAGTACTTTTTCAGTTGAACTCTATTTTCCTAACAGTGATGCCTTGTGACTTGAAATGTGATTTTTTTTGTTTAAATTTTTTTAACACAATCTTTATTTAGATAGCTCTGGTTCTAGGTCACTGGTCGGTTTAACTGACCACCTCCGGTCAGCTGCTGCAGACGAGTTTTTTGGAAGGTTCAAGTTTTTAAAGTAAGAAACTGTGAAAAAGGTCATAAATTGAAATACGAAGACAAAATGATGAAAACATTCACAGGGAGCTTACGAAAACTACATAATGATCTAGACTTTATCATTTCAAAGTGTTTTTTTTTCTTTTTAGAATATGCATGCCAAATGTCGTGTCTTTTTCAATGATTTGT